TATATATATGTGTGTGTGTATGTATGTGTGTATGTATATGTATATATATGTGTGTGTGTATGTATGTATGTATGTATATGTATATATATGTGTGTGTGTATGTATGTATGTATGTATATGTATATATATATATATGTGTGTGTGTGTGTGTCATATGTATATAAGCATGTATGTACACTACTGCTCAAAAGTTTGGGATCACTTAGAAATTGTATTGTTTTCCGTGGAAACACACATGAAATTAGTCTGAATAGGAAATATAGCAAAAGAACAGGACATGCTGACATTGTCAGAGTTAGAAATAATGATTTTGATGGAAATGATGAATTGGTTTTTCAAACTTTGAAAAACTATATAATCTGATGAGATTTCACCCCATGCTTCCTGGAGCATCTCCCACAACAGCTCAACAGGGTTCAAATCCGGAGACCGCTTATTCTTCAAATATTGCTGACACATTTTGGAAGTGTGTTTTGGGTCATTATCCTGTTGTAGGATGAAATTGGCCCCAGTTAAGTGCTGTCCACAGGGCATGGCATTGCAAAATCTTGTGATAGCTTTCCTTCCTCAAGGTCCCTTCCACTCTGTACAAATCTCCTATTTTACCACCTCCAAAGCACCCCCAGACCATCACGCTGCCTCCACCATGCTTGACTGAAGGTATTAAGCACTGATCTAGCATCTTCTCATTTGTTCTGCGTCTCACAAATGTTTGATCCGAAGACTTGGACTCATCTGTCCCACAACCAGTCTTCCAGTGTCCAATGTCTGTGCTCTTTTCAGTCTTTTGGTCTTTTGTCTTTATTGGCCAGTCTGAGATACAGCTTTTTCTTTGCAATTCTGCCATGAAGTCCAGCATCGGCTCTTCACCAATTCTGCCATGAAGTCCAGCATCCTGAAGTCGGCTCTTCACTGTTGATGCTGACGCTGGTGTTTGACGGGTACTATTTAGTGCAGCTGTCAGTTGAGGACCTGTGAGGCGTCTTTGTCTTAAACTACACACTCTCAGATATGTGTGTTCTTGCACAGTTGTGCATCGGGGCCTCCCACTCATTTTTCTGTCCTTGTTAGAGCCAGCCTGTGCTGCTCTCTGAAGGGAGTTGTTAACAGCATGATAAGAAATTTTAAGTTTCCTTGCAATTTCTCGCATTGAGTAGCCAACAATAGGACAACAATAGGTCTCTAGTGAAAGGTCTTTATTTCTTGCCATTTTGAGCCTGTAAACAGACACAACTGCTGATGTTCAGATACTAAACTAACGTAAAGCATGCCATGCTCCCTTGTTTGCTGCATTAGTACAACGCTTCTCAGCTGTGCAACACAATTGCAAAAGGGTTGTCTCATAATCAATTAGCCTTATAAAATGATTAACTTGAATTAGCAGCCCTACCAGGTGATTGATGCAGAGGACTGACAATTGCTAATAATAGGCCTCTATGCAAAAATTTAGATCATTCTTTAAAAATTATCTGATTAATTTGAATTGTTTGTGAAATGGATAAAATTGCTTGTGAGTTGCATGAAAATGTGTTTTTCTTTGGAAAGCAAAGAAATTTGCAAGTGATCCCAAACTTTTGAGCGGTAGTGTATGTATGTGTGTGTGTGTGTGTGTTAGGGCTGTCAAAATGACTGAAAAACTAAATTAGAATTTTCCACTTAAATATTATCAAAATTAGAATTATATTCAAATTTAAAAGGCGTAATTTCAGTTAGGGGGGAAAAAAGCTTTTGGCTTTTCTCTCGAGGCCACAAGAGGGCGCATCGAGCAAAATATTATGCACGTTTCTTCAAAGCGTAATAAAATAACACGACTATCTTTGAAAAAAAAGTGCATAATGTTTAAAATAATGTTTATAAACCATATATAATTAATAAAGTTGCTTAATTTGAAAAAAAAAAAACAGCCCCATGCA